GCCACAGATAACCAACAGTTGATCCTATCACAATATCCGTTCAAAAAACTGTATAAAAGCTGCTTGCATTGTGAATTCGGGGCCGCTCCTGTCCTGAAAACGGGGCGACCTCCAGCATGCTGGAAATAAAACCTCTTGCTTGTGCATCGATCTCTGTGCCTCCTGGTCTTTGCGAGATGAGCCTTCCCATCAAGTTAAGATTCGTGCTTTTAGGCTGGTCTTAAACAACAGAGGAAACCAGGGCCCAGAGACTTAAGTGACTTCCCAAAGTCTCAAAACATTGGTGGTAGAGCTGGTATGCAATTCTAGGCCCAGGAAGCATGCCTTTGCCACAGCACCTCTGTCTTTTACCACTAACTTTCATAAGGGTTCAATACATATGTATAGGATTGTGAACAGGATTTAAACCATCTGCACACTAGCTATTTGGCCAGTGAATTGGAAGGCAAGGATACTGTCTTTGAACGCACACAGAGAATGTTTAAAGAACCAGGGCTTCCCAAACCAGCTGGGGTTCTTTTCAGTACCTCTTCTTGTGATTAAGCGTCGTTGGCAGCTGTGCCATGGGAACCTACAAAAGACAGAAAATGGCCGTGACACTGGCCTTAGACTGAAGTGGAGGGAGTGGGACCATCTAGTTACTAAGGGCAGCCTACTTTCTCCTCTCGAGGACATGGGAGACATACGAAGGGTGGGAAGGAATTTTATTACTGACCACAAGCCGCAAAGTGTTGTCTTTTTCCTCGAGCCGTCAACAATGGCAGAGTGTTTCTCTGTGCCAAGACTGTGGCCAGGAGCAGGGTGTGTATGCTGAGCAGTTCACACTGCTGGGGAAATAAGACGTTCCTGTCTTTTATTACTATTTCACTTCTTTGACCTATGTCTGCTGCAAAGTTGATTGTATTAGTCCTTTCCTGTTGCTTATAACAGAAAACCTGAAACTGGATCATTTATAAAGAAATGAAATTTATTTCTTACTGTTTTGGGAGGCTGGGAAGTCCACAGTCCAGGCGATACATCTGGTGAGGGTCTTCTTCTGGGTGGGAACTCTTTACAAGGTCCCGTCACATGTGACCAGGGTGTCACATGGCAAGAATAGCAAGAGGAGAGAACTAACACCCTCATCCTCTCTCCTTATCAAGCCATCAGGACCACGCCCATGATGGCCCATTACTTCCTGAATGGACTAAGCCTTTCTCAAGGGCACAGCTCTCACGATCCAATCACCTCTCAAAGGCCCCACCCTTCAAGTACCTTGATTGGATTTCCTACCTTCTCAACACTGTGACAATGGAGGTCAAGTTTCCAATACATGAGCTTTTGGGGGATGCATTTGACCCACGGCACTGATGAGTAGGACTTTCAAGACATCAATTCAAAGGTCAGAGAGGAGAGAAAACCCAGGGATGCCCCAAACATCTGCTGCCAATGTCCACATCCCAGTGCCATTGCAGGCCCTGGGAGAGCCATCTATTGGGCAGGTCAGAACAGCCTTCACCTGGAACTATTCACCTGGACACGGGAAAAGAAGGGGGTAAGCCTCTGTTTTCCCATCTGAAACTGAGGCTGTTAATTATATTTTCTCATGGTCTTCCTGTGTTGGATGTAAATAAAGCATATAAAGTGTCTGATTTAGCACTTAAAAATGTTAGCTAATGAGATATGTGTTGTTAGTAGTCTCACTCCCATCTACACACAGATTCTACCTGCAAAGATCCATTCATTTTTCGCCTGACTCAGAGCACATAATTATATAGTGCCAGGGATGGGGAAGAGCCTTCTAGAGATACCCTCTCTAGTCAAACCCTTTTATTCCACAGAAGAAAAAAACGAGAGCCAGAGAAATTCAAACACTTATAAAGGTCATACAGGAGTTATTCTAGAGCCAAGAAAAGCCCCGTCCCACGTGGCCCCGGGGTCCCACTACCCCACTGGCAATCAGCAGCTTGTCATATTGCAGACATGCTAAGTCCAACAAGAATTTCACTGTATTAAAAAAAAAAAAAAGGAAGAAAAGATTGATTTTGATGTTTTGAGGCTTCATGAAACCAGCAATTTTAATCAATTTTTCAAAATTGCTAATTTCATCCATCCAAGGAACTCACACACAAACAGAAGGGCTGATTGAAATTTAAATGGCGGCTGGCTTGTTAGCTGCAGGCACCAGGCTGGGTATTTTCATATGCAAGCCTGCAACTGTGTCCCGGCCTGGCAGCAAGAGGAAGCAATCTCCCCGAGACACTTGAAGGCATTAAGAATTCAGGCAGCCAAAATGAGAAACAACAACATGAAATGATAAAACAAAGACAGATCATTATTAGCACCAACATCATGTGTTCCCGTGTCCTCCGATCTCATTTAGAGTCCTGCTAGTTGTCTATTGAAACTGTAATTAGGCTGATAGGAACCAGAGGATTAAAGTAACTTTCTTCCCCAAATTGTGGGGATTTCAAATGAGCAAGATGGGGAAGAGATAAACCTGAGAAAGATTTTAATATTCTGGGCTACAGCTCCCGGGACAGCACGGGCTGACAAATGATGACTGGTTCCCAACCCCAGGCAGACCGGGAGGGATGTCACCTCCTCCTGCCCCACCTCGGGGTGGGGGTGGGAGTGCGCCCCCTCTGCAGCCCAAACTGTGACTTCACTCTTCGCA